ATGGCAATGAGTAGAGCTGTCTTTTAAGCACCTCGACTCAAATGATGCAGTTTATATTTTATAGAAAGTACATAGAGCAGTGTTAGTTATCTAATGTTCTCAGTGTTCTCAAGAACGTTTAAAAAAATTCGAGAACATTATATTTAAAAATTATGTTCTCTTTTGAGAACCAACTAAGAGCATAAATTTTATAATTTATGTTCTCATATTATAAATAAAATATATATAAGTTTTCTTTTTTTTCCTTTTTTTTTTTTTATCATTAAGAACATTAACATTAAAATGGTTATAAAAACATCAATTTTATGTTCTCAAATTTTCAGAAATTTAACACTGACATAGAGTAACTTATTGCTTAAACTGGTTGGTTTATGTTCCAAAACTCGTTAAGCTTTATTTTAAAACATTTAACCGGATTTTAAACTATTTATAAAATGTACTAATAATTATGCTGGTTAAACGTCTTGTCTCATCATGGCGAATTTATGAAATTAAGCGAAAATTCGAATACCAAATCCAAGCATTCGATCCCAAATTTAAATTCTAGTTGCCAATTAATCAATTAATGTAAACCCCGAAAAAATTTTTGGACCTCTGACCTAGCATCCAACCCATCTTCCTCACAGCTTAACCCATTTACCTCACTATCGATGCACCTCATTAGACACAGAAATTTATTAGGATGTTGCATCATAACTCGGGATTTTTGATTATCTCAATCTAAATCTATATTTGCATCTTAGTAGTTAAATTTTTAAAATTTTGGGATATTTCATAAATTCATCTCAATGTAAAACCTGTTATTACTGTTTATTTTATCACTAAATACATATTAGCAAAAAGAGATTTTTGATATGGCTTATTATAAAAATAATGTTATGTCTTTTAATATCTGGATGCTAAAAAATCCAGGCCATTATTATCTATGTAGATATCTAACTTTTTTTAGAGCCATAAAGAATATAGGCTATATTATACTATTTTTATACTAAAAGTTTAGAAATTGCCTGTGAATCAAGTATGCAGCAGATTTGTGCGAAGTCCTGGAGTTTGGACTAAACCTTCAGTACCTAAATACATGTTTGTATTATTTATGAAACAGTGGGAGTATCATATTCCAAGATGATAATTTTATAGGTATCCACACTAATGTCAAAGTAAGTATTGTGCCTCAAAAAGTCACTGTGTTTTAACATGTAAATAATTTTTATATTTAAATATTTTAGTGGATAAAAAATGGTGTAAAAATTGGAACAAAAAAATTAAAAAGTTGCTATGAAATATTCAAAAGTAATATTATTATAAATAGCGCTTAACTAAAATATATTAATTTAATTTTATTTACTTTAAATAATCTATTTAAGATATATTATTTGATCTTTAGAATTTGTGAGTATGCCTAGTTTTTATGTTCTTGACCGTTTATATATTATGTTACATGCATAAATATAGTAAATCAACTACACCTAATCTTAAAATGGCCAATGATTCTTGGAAAACTTTATATAACTTAAACATAATTTTTACCAGATTTAATAAATTAATTTTATAAGTTTAAAGAATTTATTTAAAAAAGTTTTATTGAATTTGAAAAAAGGTAGCTTTAAAAATTTTTTTATAAAAATTTACTCAATTTTATATTGATTTATTTCTATTCAGATAATGCAATTCTATATAATCTATTCATTATATTCATTTTAATACATATGTTAATAACCTTGTTCACATCTTTTTTCAATAGATTCTGTTAATTCTGAAGCCTTTTTTTTATCAATACCATTAAAAGAATTATCTTTGCATAAACTTAAAATATCTTTACATAAATTCAAAGTATCTTTGCATAAATTTAAAGTGAATTCTTTTTCGACATTTTCCTCGGATTTTTTATCTAATCCAAGAAGCTCCAAAAGCCTATCACTTATAATAGGTTTATAATCATCAGCCAAATCATTATTAGATTTCAGATCTAAAATTTTATTACGAACTTCATAGGC